TTCTATGGTGTCTTAACTCAATTTGTTTATAGACAAACTAGTCCCACAGTTTTTGAGTTATCGATCAGAAATTCGCACATGTTCTTTTATCCGCAAGTAGCTGCTCCTTTCTCGGTATCACCGATATTGGACCACTATAGCATATAGCTGTCATACAAACTGGAGGATCAAGATCAAGTTCCTGTATGAAAAACTATTTTATCTGTTGAGATATCTTCACTAAATTTGACACAGAATATTCGGCATTGTAACCCTACAATTTTCGTAGAAATTGTTCAGATCAGACCACTAAAACATATAGCTGCCATAGAAACCGATCGACAAAATACAGGGCTTGTATGGAAAATTTTTTTAACTGACGAGATGTCTTCACGAAATTTGGCTTGAATTATTTTGCAAGGCAACTCTCCAATCTCTGAATATATTGTTAAGATCGTACAACTATAGCATATGACTGTCATACAAACTGAACGATCAAAATCAAGTTCTTCTTGTAAAAGGCACGACTTTAATCACCGAATATGTTCTCAGAATCAGATGCCTATATCTTATAGCTGAGTTATAAACTGGATAAAAAAACTCAAAGCGTTATATAGAAATGTACTTTATTTGTAAAGGGTATTCCAGCTGCGGTGCAGCCGCAGTTAACGTTTTTTTTTTTTGTTTTTTTTTTTTGTTTCCACAAACCAAAATTTGCATGGCTTTTAGCGAACAATAAAATTTTGAAAATTTCGAATTACTTTTATATTGTTTTTAGTTGAATGCCTTTATAATCATAATCATCGCATTTGTATTTGCATTTATATGTCACTTCATTACTGCACAGCTCATTTTAACATGAGCAGTCAATGCAAAGCAAATTAATGCGATTAAAAACTATTGTAATTTAGTGTTGCGTATTTATTTTCGTTCTTTATTTATTTTTTATTTTTTTATTTATTTTTTTTTTTGTATATTTATTTCATTCGACTCTCTTTGCATTGTAAGTTTTAACTCGCTCTGGTTGGTTTTGTCATTACTTATTGTTTTTATTGCCGTGCATTTGTTGATTATGCGAGGGAATGGCTGAACTTAACCCAATGGTATATATACATATATACTATATATACATATATATATATATATTAAAATATGTTTGTAAAAAAGGTTTATAAATGAGTAAAAGATTTTTTCCCCTAAAAATTAAGATGGAATCAGCAGCGCCAATATGAAGTCTAATTGCGATGATTTATGCAAAGATACGATAATTATATTCTTTGCTAACTCGATTAAAGTCATCCGGATACTCTTTCATATAGGAATAGAAAGAACTGAAAAATCAAACAAGCTAGCTGGCTCGGGGTAGCTGAGAACACAATTCCTTAAGAACCATACAATTCAGGTCCTACAAGGGTTGTTTGAAGCAGTGAACCCTAAAGGAATAGTTCAGGTTTTTGGAACACGAGTTGGTGATGGATGGAGCAAATAGCTTCTACTTATAGACAAAAGAGCACTTGGTAATATTATATGGGCACCTAACCTTAATATTACACTTTCAGAAAATTGTAAATTGTATTCAGCGGAATGCAGAATTAGAGAGTCATGAGACGCTGACACATTCAAGCTAGCTAGGTTTCAGGCGTAGGAGAATGAATATATTACTCGGCTCCAATCAAAAATTGGTATGTATATTTAAATAATTTATAAATGGCTTTTCCGCAACTGGCTTTAGACGCATAGTCTCTTAGGCAAAATTGTTCAGAGTTATCCGTAGAACATTTCGGATTTCGAACCGCTCTAATGTACACATATACATATGTAAATCCAATTGTATATGTACATATATACATATGTATGTATGTAGATTGCTGGCAATGTCATTACATCCAATTGTTGAGTGATTAGCTAGCGTTGAATTTTTGATTACTTTTTTAACAAGCAATACAAAAGCGCTTTAGAAGTCAACGACTTTGAAGTGCTTTTCATAAACTAAAAGCAAAATAAAATTTGCTTAATTTGCGAAATTTTTTGTAATGAGATAATAAAATTTCCAACAAAAGCTTTAAGTTATTATAAATAATGGGTTTTAATAGCACTGAAGCGCGCTACACAATTAGTTATTTTAAATAAATAATGCCAAATGTCTGATATTTGCTGTTTAATATTTTAATTGATGAGCTTTGTTCGTACGGCTGCATCCAATGTCAAGTGACCACTTGGGCACAATTTAAATATATGGTCCTGTGGCGCAATGGATAACGCGTCTGACTACGGATCAGAAGATTCCAGGTTCGACTCCTGGCAGGATCGTCCATTCAATCATTGAGGGATTGAATTATTTTATTTTTTTTATTTACTAATTTTATATTACAAGTAAAACATATTTAACACATCAAATTCCATAATCATATTTGGCTGACTTTATATTAGTTTGATTCTGAAATGTTATACATAAATTGCGAATGATCAGAAGAGCTGACAAGTTTGTAGTTTTACATAGAAAAAATTTAATAGTAAATTTCTTAGTAAATTTCTATAATTAAACCATTTTTTAGCCTTAAACTAAGACTCTTAGTCCACTCGTCTAACCGTCGTTTGGACTCCGGTACGTAATGAAGGAGCCAAGTTTCGTCCCTTGTCACATATCGACGCAAAAGCTCAGTTTTAATACCCTTGAACACTGCACCGAATACTCAACTCGCCATTGTCTTTTGCTAAAAGTGTGCTCGCGTAAAAAGCTTTCGGAAAGCCAAATATTCGTGATACCTTTAGAGTTTCAGCTCTCCCGAACAACTTCAGGTTACGGTCATCCGAAATTATTTTGCAGATTTTTTTAATATTTTCGTCGGCAACTGTCTTTTTAGTGCGTTCACTGTCTGCTTGTCTCGTTTAAACTCTGCAAAATACTTTTCAAGGGTTGATTTTCCTGGCGGAGAGTCCGAATAATCTGCATTAAGTCAAGCCTTGTCTTTGTCTTTCTTATCCGTTTTTTTTCTTTCCAAACCTAGTTGCTTCACTCAAAATGCTATATCTCATAAACTAATAATTCGACGGACATATCTAATTGAGAAACCATACATTACTTCAAATATGAGTTCCAAAAAAAAAAATGCATTTTTCTAAACTATGCGTCCTTAGGGATAAAGAAAGACTGTGTCGTCTCATCACGATTTCTACCATTGTGATCTTTTGAACAATGGAGGATCAAACTTGGCTAGGTGGGTAGAGTGGGTGACACAACTAAGCCTAGGACACTCTTTGTAAAACATCACAACTAAAATTCTTCTCTATATTACATACATATGTCCTCTCTGAACTCTCATGCTTCAGAATAAGCACCATACATTAATACAAAAACTTTCCTACTTAGAACTTCTGAAACATCGTCAATAAACCCTGGAGCTATTGTTGCGACTCTTTTCCTATACAAATATACTAGCAGACGTTATATGAGAAGTGGGCAATTGAGAAGTAAAGTCCTCTCTCGACGAACAAAGCCCAAATTCTATAAGTCACTCATCATCCCCGTTCTGATGTATGAAGTCATGAACGATGACAACATCTGAAAAGTTGACGTTACTAGTTTTGAAGAGGTTGAAAGGTGAAAAATGTTTATTACGTCGCCTAACATATGCATACATACAAGTATATGTTTGATTATTTTATTATATATTTTTCATTTTTAGTTCTATTCTATTCTAATCAAAGATAAAACGCCCATTTGTCAGATTTCGGCCGCGAGCCTCCGTGGCGCAATTGGCTAGCGCGTTCGGCTGTTAACCGAAAGGTTGGTGGTTCGAGCCCACCCGGGGGCGCACAACTTTTTGTTAACTGTTTCTTTTTGTTCTTTTTATTCTCTGCTTGAAATTCTTACCTGTGTTTTGTATGAGTTTATATAATACTATATTGCAAGTTGGAAAATATTCAGTTCACAAAACATCTATTTAAAAATTTTTTTTTGCTTTTTATTGGTTACACCGTTACACTTAATATATCGCACTCGGTGTGAGTAATAAGGATTAAATAAAAAATAAATGCGTTTTCTGCGTTTATTTACGAGAGTGCATTGAACTTGTCGCGAGTGAGCGAACAAATAATTTTTGAACATAATTAATCTATACAAAATTATTATTTGCGACGCAATTCATCAAATGACAGCGACAAGCCGGCGTGCAGTCGCTTAAACAGCTAGCCAACGCGAGAAAACGTCATTTGTGTTCAAATCGCGCGGTTCATATTTTTCGTATTGTTATTGTTGTGGAATTCCAATGCACGCAAACACGTATAATAGTAGTAATTAAATTACTCACCGAAAAAGTGCATTTGTCTTATTTTCGTGCTCGTCTCATGTCGTCTCTCGTCTCACTGCTCATTAAGGTTTGCCCACAGCACGACACTCCCACATGTGCGAGGCGTCGCGCCTTCGATTGCTGTCGGTGGGGCTTTTTTTTGTTTTTTTTTTTTGTATTTTTTGTATTTTTTTATATTTTTTTGTATTTTTTTTTTCATTTTGCTACTTTCTGTGGGTTGTGTGTGTTTTATTTTTGTTCGGCTCATTGTTCATTACTTTAATTGAGAGACTAATTAAGTGTCAAGTCGTGTGAGTGCGTCGCAGGGAGCAAGCGCTAAGACGAAGAAGTTTAATGTTTTGGTCAATTCGTTGTCGTTGTCCGTGCGTTTGTTCATTGTTGGTTTACATTCATTCAATAAATCTTCAGCAGTCATAACTATAAGTGGTAAATACTCGTAAAGTATTTTTATGGGCATTTAAGTGTCGCCATATAACGTGAGAGCTGAGGCTCATGGCGCACTTCTTTTTCATGGTGCACTTCGTACCTAAGTATGTATATAAAAATTATATGCCGTATGTACATATACATACATACTTACATATATTATATACATTATATATTATACAGGTGTGAACACGATCTAATTTTAGCCACTAATTAAGAATTTTATTGCAGAACTGATTATCTAATAACATGTTAATACTTATATATTTCTTTTTTTTATTTCAGTACATGGTCTATCAGTGATTTTTGTGTAAGTATTATTTTAATAAATGTGTTTTGTAATATCGTATACAATTTTTTGATGAGACATTGAGTGGTTACGTGGATTTTGACATCCGAAAAAAACCTATTTTCACCAACTTTTTTTCCTACGATAAATGACCTAATTTATTGCAACTGTTGAATATATTAAAGAGCAACATTTGAGTAATATTTTGTGAGTTTTTCGTAAATTAAGTTCTGAACACAAAACGGCGAGATGCCATCTAGATGTATTGCATACATAACGACGAAAGTTTCTTCTAAATTCAAAACATTGAATTTCATCAGTTAGTAGATAAGAATAGGTTCTGAATAATCGAAGGATTTATATCTATAATTTAAAAACTAATTTTTGGCAAAGTTGCAAACAAAACAGTATGATTTTGGGTCTAATTTTTAACACAAATTGTTTTGAGAAAATTAATTGTAATCGAGAAATAAATCCTTATATTACATTACAAGCCGTGAGACAAGTAGGTCCTTGTGGCATTTACTACAGCCGCCGTATAAAGGAGCGCAAATTCGGAGTGGAATTCGTTGTGGGAATGAAACTCCGTCGTCGGGTACTGGCATTCACCTCGGTGAAGCCACAATACACATCAAAGCGCAGTTCTTCAACATACTGCTACTTTGCGCACACGCCCCAACGGAAGATAAGGAAAATGTGAACAAAGTGTCACTACCCCCGCTACGATGTCAAAATCGTACGTGGCGACTTCAATACCAGGATGGGAAAAGATGGTATCTTTGGTACAACGGTCGGTAAATTTAGCCTAATCCTGAACGATTTCGCCGCGTCTCGAAATATAGTTATCTGTAGTTCTAGATTTCAGCCTAGGAAAATTCATCAAGCTATATGGCTGTCTCTGGATCGAAAAGCCACGAACCAGGTCGATCATGTTGTGATAGATAGAAGACACGTCTCCTGTGTTTTAGACATGTGTACGCTCCGAGGTCCTAACATCGACTCTGATCAGTATCTTGTTGCTTGCCAAGGTACGCATAACAACACAAGGAAGGTTCGACGTCGAGAGCTTCAATAACAACAGATAGCGAAAGTGTTTCTGCTCGACTAGCGCTCCTTCTCTCTGCGAATACTCATCAGCAACTCGGTATAAGCGAACTTCTTACGAGAAGTGCCGTGTCGCAGTTCAGAGAAAACAGACTGCTTACCTCGAAACGTTACAATAGGTATTCCATATCCCGACCATGAAGAAGTTCAAATAGCAAATATTCGTCTGAAGAAAAACAAAACCGTGGGGCCGATGAATTGCCGGCCGAACTTCTTTGTAGAATATGGTCGGACGAAAGCATGCCTGACAATTGAAATTTAACTGTGTTCTGCCCAATAAAAAGTTAGACCCCACAATCTGCGCCAATTACCGTGGAAGAAGCCGCCTCAACATCACAAGTTCGATGTTGAGCAATACTAAAAGTTCCGTCAGGATCGGAAAAATCTCTTCGATGCCAAACGAGGTTTCAGATAAGGAGACTCTATTCGTCTATCTTGGGACCAGTATTAACACCACCAGTATAACACAACAACGTCCGCCTCGAAATCTGATCCAGAACTACTCTTTCCAACAGGTACTACTCAGGTCGGATTCAGTAGACAATTGTGAAGTAAACAAAGAAAAAATTCTACAAGTCATTCATCATATCCGTCCTGCTATATAGTGCAGAGGCATGGACAATGATATCATCTGATGAGTCGGCGTTATACGTTTTCGACAGAAAAGTTCTAAGTTAATATTAGAACATTGGATTTTACTTTCTTCAATTTTATTACAATACTTTTATATCGAAAATTTATGCATATTCCTACTCCTTAACATATATTACATTATTCATCATACGCCCTGTTGACCATAATATGCACCACACCTTTTGCACTACTTATACATATGTACTATATATACTCTGCATATATATAAATATTATATACACACAAAAACTTGCGACATGAAATCTCAATAGCTTGCCAGCTATACGCTGACACAATTCAGTAGATTTCACGATTTAAGCGCGACGTCACGAGGTAAAATCAATTGTCCTGCACAACCCAGCGAATTTGATGGTTCACTACACCTACCAAGAACACAGGTGGCTGCACACATACATACATACACATATAAACTTGTATTTGTTTGTGCACGAAAGTAAATATAAATATTGTCTGCAAGGACAATGACATGTGCACACAGACTCACACTCAAATAACCATTTTCAAATGCCGCGACAGACAACCGTGTCGCTTCGTGACAGGCGAGACGCGTCCTTGCCACTGTTAAATGAAAAGCTAAATAGGAGCAATACCGCCAAAAACAAATACAAACAACAACAAAGTGTATGTTKTTGTTGTTATTAGTGTGGTAATTTATTCATAAACTCAAGTCATGGCGTCTGGCGTAACTTTTTCGGGCCACCACTACAGGCGTAAAATTCATAAACACACACATACACATTCAATAACAAATATTTACTACTAAAGGCCAATGCACATGGCTCGTAACAGACATTTAGTTTAATATGTATATACAAAGATGTTTGTTTAGGTTCACATTCGTCTGCTCGTCTGTTAGTCTGTTACACTGCGTTCATTTGTTCATATTTCTGTGGCTTTTGGCCTGTCTGCTAACCCCACCTGTGTGCCCTTGTCCTTTCTGAATTTGATTTACGCTTTTTTGGTTGCCTGTAGTAATTTCGAAAAAACACAAAAAAAAACTCTAAATATTTCTCACACAGGTGGGCGACCTTTCATCGATCCAAAAACCGAATGAATACCAGCACAAAGGCGTAACAAATAACAGTCGAAAAGAAGGAAAAAAGTATAGAGACTGCCAGACATTTTTGGCATTTTATTGTGCACTACATTATTCATGCATCATTATAGCAGCATGAGGGAATTCGCGCTACTTTCTGGGTTAATAACACGTGCTTATTTCAGTATATTAGATATTTTGTCATATTAGCGCTAGCTCATATTGTTGTGCGGTTTTTATATAACTTTCAGCAAGATAAAAAAAGTAAATCGTCGCACAGTAATTTCGACTGCAACGAACATAAAATACCCTTCACAAATAAAGAAATGAATTTTTATCATTCAACTGGTTTGGCAGCTATATGTTATAAGTTCGATTAGAAAAATATTTTCGGAGATTAGAGCGATGCTTTTGAAAAAACTTTGTGTCAAATTTCGTGAAGACAACTCGTCAAATAAAAAAATTTTCTTTACTCCATGTCCTTGAGTTCATCGTTCAGTTTTTATGACAGCTATATGAAAAAAAAGAGGAAGACCTCCACTCCGTTGGAAGGACCAAGTGGAGAAGGACCTGGCTTCACTTGGAATATCTAATTGGCGCCACGTAGCGAAAAGAAGAAACGACTGGCGCGCTGTTGTTAACTCGGCTATAATCGCGTAAGCGGTGTCTACGCCAATCAAGAAGAGAAGATATGAAAAATTTCTTCGTTCCGACAAATGAGCAGCTTCTTGGAGAGCAAAAGTCGTTTACGAAATTTCTGATCAAGATCTCAAAAACTGAGGGACCAGTTCTCGTATATACAGGCAAACTGGCGGACAGGCTGATCGGCAGACGGACATGGCTCCCAGCTAAACATATATACATTATAAGGCCTCCGAAATTTCCTTTTGGGTGGGTATCGTGGCAAACTTAATTTCACTTTTTCAGGGTATAAATATAATTTAAGTTATAGAGGCTTATTCTTCAAAAGCTCCTTATCAAACGCTCTCTAAAGAGCAGGCACAAAAATTAAAGGTTTATGGATCTTTGCTTAGTATTTTCGGGTACGAAATTGAAGTATTTACTCCGTTAGGTGAGTTGGTTGGTTGAGAAGGAGAAGCATAGAAAGGATGGATTGACTGTACTTAAGTCATGATATTGCCATTGTGCTCCCAAGCTGTAACCAGTTAAGCAATGTTGAGCACTTTATAAGTTTGACAAAGTGCCAAATTTTCGACATTTAACTACCCTTGTTTTAAGTTGGATCATTGAAACCAACAGAAGATAAGCGGTCTCAAACGACTGAAGGCTGGCTATTCACGAAAGTAATATTAAGGCGTCTAATCATTTCTTGCCGCAAACTCTGCATTTTCCCGATTGTACTTTAACAAGTTTCTGGGATATTAAAGGTATGAGCTTTGTTGCTAGTCTTGCAAGAATTTGAAAAAATACAAGCTCTTTACAGTTCAAATTGTTTAATCAGTTATTTGAGACATCCATGTTTTAGACCTTGGCAAATTCGCTACGCTGAAGCTAACCTTGTTAATTTTTTTAAACCATTGGTCCACCTATTAAACAACAAAAGTTAGATTGCTCGATGACACAGTGGTTTATGAAAAAATCGTTTAAAAAATATGTGGAATAAGGTCGTATCGATTGTGGGGAAATCTCCATGGCTTTAGATGAACTGACATCCTTTCACATCTCATTTAAGAGTTTTTCACGATGACCCAGCAAAGACAGTATCAGTCGAAATTAAGCTTTCACTTTGATACTGTGGTTGAAGACCGTGGCACTAAATGTATCGGGGTTTTCAAGAAAGTCCTGAATTGCGTTGCTATATAAACTTTTCAACATTTTGGGCATATTTTCTTCCTAAAAACGACTTAATAAATAATATAAGAATCGCGCGTTTTTTTTTCATTCCTTTGTCTATGATCTTAGCGATCCGGCATGCCTTGAAGGCATTTTATCTCGCCCTGATCGTCCATCAGTCCTTTCGGAAATTTCGAAGAAGTGGTTCGCTAGCCCAGCGAAGCTCCTAATATCTCTTTTTTTCCTTAATCTAGGTATTTAAAAAATTCTTAGTTGTAATCTTGCCAAATCTGTTTCGCTATCTTGCATTTGGTGGTAGATTTCCATTTCTGAGCTAAGTATTTGTTAAAATTGTGTATTGAGCTCTCTCTTGACCATTCCTAATCTGCGCGGTATTATCTTGGATTCGTCTAGCTGATGACTTTGGCAACTC